GGTTTTCGTTCTGCCTTCCTTTTACCTTAAGTGGTCTGTCTCTTACCTCGTTCAATTAATTACAATAAATATTTAAATGACTATCAAAATATTTGAATGACTATCAAAAGAGTTGTCCTGCTGGGAGGGACACCCAATTACTCTTAGTTCTTCATTAGCCAGATTGTTGTTTTAGCTCCTACCTTGAAATAAATATTTAAATGACTACCAAAATATTTAAATGACTATCAAAAGAGTAGTCCTGCTGGGAGGGACACCCAATTACTCTAAGTTCTTCATTAGCCAGATTGTTGTTTTAGCTCCTACCTTGCAATAAAACGCGGAAATCAGGGATAAGTGCTGGCCAGGCAGCAAAATGCCTTGCTTGCTGCAACTTTAGTTTTCCCTATATTTTTTAAGCACCTGTGCCTACCGTTTCTTGCGCAGATGTAAGACTTTTGCAGTTGTACAACTTTTAATTTTTACATAGCAGATTGTGTTGATGGAACATAGAAGTCGCGTAGATCAATAAAGCTGGTAGAAATAGGCAAGGTGATGCTATCTGTAATTATTGCAGCGATGGACAGACTTATACTTTGATACACTTGACGAATTTTGATAGGATTGTTTGGTTTCCCAGAATTATTCCCCTTTTTGCAAGAGGAATAATGTCAGCTGGGATTTTTATCTGATTTTTATCTCCTGAAGGTCTATGAAGTTTCGTAGGACTCTTAGTAGGGAAGGTTTTGGCGTCAGAGTAGCTGATGGGACCGATACGCCCAAGTCAAAACCAACATACAGAACCTAATAGGACTTTCAAGGTACAGTGGACCCTCGACTTACAGACGGCTCGACTTACAGACTTTTCGAGTTACAGACTTCTCTGGCTGCAAAATTTAGATTCGACTTGCAGCCAGAGAATCGACTTACAGACCAGAAAAAAACCAAAATGGAATAAAAATAGAATAAAAACCACTGGTTATGGGATTAATCGGTTTTCAGTGCATTGTAGGTCAATGGAGATTCGACTTACAGACTTCTCGACTTGCAGCCTCCATTCCAATATGGATTAATTCCTTAAGTAGAGGTTTCAAGGTAACAAAGAATATTTTAGGAGTGATTTAATTAATTCTATCACCCACTTATCCAGTGAGTCTTTAAGGCCAAGTGTGGATTCAAACCCAGGAGGAGGATGAGAAGAAGAAAAAATTGCCAATAATTGAATACAGGTGATTTGTTGTAATATATATTTTTTTTGGGGGGGGTGTCTGGATCTGTCTTTCACAACATAACCTTCTTGAGCCACAGGCAGCAGCAAGAATGATTGTCAAGATTTTTATTTATTTTTATTTGCTGCCTTGATCAGCTGCAGTGCATTGCTCAACTGGTGGGCAGTGAAGCCGGGCTGTTGGGTCCTGGAGCCCAGCAAAGCCGCCCACCATCAGCTGGGGAGCTGAAACAAAAGGGGATGCTAACAGTGATCTATAATCACATGACTATCATGCGATTATAAATTGGACTAAATAATAACGAGGCGTACAGTATTGCATGGTAGATCATTAGTAAACCCAGGCACTTTGCAACTTGCGGTGCATTCTCCCCCACCCAGAATCTCCTTGCTGTTGCCTCTTAGGTGAAATGGAATGGCATTGCAGACTTTAATAGTGAAGGCGGCAAGCCATGAAATCATCAGTAATAATTAAGCCAGGCTTCCCTCTTTGGGAACTTTCTAAAACCATCTCTGGCAACGGAGGATCTAGATTGTGCTTCCATTTACCGCCAGAGGGAAGAATTTGCCTAAAGCACTATGGAATGCTAGTTGCTTGCCTGTTAACTAACAAGAAGACGTTAGTGGGTTTCCAGTCCTGCATCCGGACAATATTATCTTATTAAAAGATACTATTACCTGGGAATTAATGAAAAATCCATTTTATCCGACTCTGATGGATTAGGATTAAAATAAATGAATTAGTCACAGTACAGATAATTCCATTGCCGCCATTACTAGACATCAGGTATTTCTTAGCCAATTTCATGCAGAATATGCATTTTCAAATTTTCCTTATCAAACTGACGGTCTTTCTCCAAACCATTGCCGCCATTACTAGACATCAGGTATTTCTTAGCCAATTTCATGCAGAATTTCAAATTTTCCTTATCAAACTGACGGTCTTTCTCCAAAGAAATAACACCCACTAGAGAAAGAGGAGGGCTAAAAGATCAGAGGCCTACTTTAAACCTGAGAACAAGAATGACAAAATTAAACAGAAGCTAAGCATTACAATCTAGATCAGAATAGTTTCCTCTTAGGTAAAGTCCACCAATTTCCATCTTAGTGAAATGCTAAATACATCTTTCACAGTCCTCCAAGTTCTGGAGGTCTCTTCCCCTCACCCCCCACAAACTAAGGGAATTCTGTGAGTTTATGAGGTGGAATTACAGTAAGATGTTGCTTCTGGCTGACTCAAGAGGATTTGCAGAGTGGGTGGGTGTCTGTTTGAAGGAGGCTGGTTGAGAGAGAAAGGTGGGGATGAGAAAGAGAGAGAATCCTGCACACTTCCAATCTGTGGCTGAAGTCCTTTTGGTAGAAGACTCCTCACTGCTGAAGAGCCAAGACGGTGTTCTGTTGGAGAAGAAGGCTCGTCTCTTCTGCAGGATGATCTGCGACGGTGAAACGGTGTCATGTTGTTGAGTTCCGACTGACCCTCCTTGGTTTTCGGCATTCCTACTTGCTTTAGCAAGGCCTGAGTTCCAGATGCACTTCAGAAAACCACCTTTCTTCCATGAAAAAAAAACCTAATGCCACAAACAAGCCACTCACCAGAGGTGGCTCCAGTGGGGAAGCGTGAAAACATAATAAATTTGAAGGAATGCACCTCAACAGTACACAGCAGGAGCAAGCAAGCCGCTGTGGATATAAAGCTGTTGAGCTGCAAAGCGCCTTTGCTGAAACGAGTATGAGATGGTGTAGGGTATCCTTACATTGGTAGCCTCGAAGGAATGCACTTCAACGGTACACAGCAGGAGCAAGCAAGCCGCTATGGATAGAAAGCTGTCGAGCTGCAAGGCGCCTTTGCTGAAAAGAGAAGGAGATGGTGTAGGGCAGTGGTTCTTAACCTTTTTCTAGCTTCGCTTAGTCCAATGCTCTCTAGTAAGATGCGGATGCCAAAAAACCTCATACTGTGCCAGTACATTGATAATCTCCAAGATTGACTGCTGCCACACTCTCTACGTGGGGCTGCCCTTGAAGGCAACACAAAAGTTCCAGCAGGTACAAAATGTGGCAGCCAGGATAGTATTGAGAGCAAGGAAGTATGATCATATCTCCCGGATCCTCGCTCACCTGCGTTGGTTGCCTGTTTGCTTCCGTGCCAAGTTCAAAGAGCTAGTATGAACTTATAAAGCCCTTCACGGTTTGTTACCTGTTCTGAGTGTCTCTTCTTAAGATCATCTACCTGGGCAACCTGGTCGATCCAGGCTTTGCAATTACGGGTGGTCACCCCTAGAGAAGGCCAGAAAACAACCACTGGGAACGGAGCCTTCTCAGTGGTGGCCACAACACTATGGAACATGTTGCCTCTTGAGGTTCGCCATGCTCCCTCCCTTTGGACATTCAGATAATGGGTGAAAACCGAGACTTTAACATTTTTGCAGAACCATGTATTTTTAAGTAAATTTTATCTGCCATTGCTTCTGGATTCTTTGGTGTGTTTTTTAATTGGATGTGTATGTATCATAAGGACTAACTTTAAATTGAAAGCCCTCTTACCAGAGATGGAGAGTAGACCATCCAGATATTGTAACCATATGGGACTGATCCAAAGGAAAAAATAGTTGCAACCAGGAGCAGTGACACTGTCAGTTTCTATAGGAAAGCATATACTGTGATTAGGTATCATAATCACTTAAAGTAGAAGAGCTAGGGGTGATTTCTTAATTCAATACAATGGAACCCCCATATCCACAGGATCAATAACAGATGATTCACTTATCCAGGGTGTAAAAATATTAAAAGAAAAATCTTAGAAATATACATTTCTAAATGTGAAGTTACCAGAACAGGCCACTAGAGGGAGACAGAGACCATGCTATGTATAATATTCACTACAAACAGTATTCAAGACCACCACAAAAATAGAACAAATGTTACGGTCAGCAAAGGACAGAAGGGACCTCCTCACCACTGCAGGTGTATACCGGATACCTTGCAGTTCTGGCCAGGTATATATTGGAACCACAAAAGAAGCATCCACACCAGAATCAAAGAACATGAGAGACACTGCAAACTAAAACAACCAGAAAAATATGCAGTAGCTGAACATGCTAGACATGGAATTCTATTTCAAAATACCAAAATACTGGACAACACCAGCAATCATTACATCAGACTGCACAGGGAAGCCATTGAAATCCACAAGCACCAGCAGAACTTCAACAAAAAGAGGAAAGTTTGAAACTCAACAAAACTTGGCTCCCAGCTCTCAAAAATACATTGTGCAAAAGGTCAATGAACTCTACCCAGCCACAAGGACCAGGGATCACTACACACAAAAGACCAGCTAATGATACCCAACAACCACAGTGACAGATAATCTCTTCTTATC